ACAGTATTATAAAACATATCACAGCAATAACCCCATAAAAAGTATATCCTCTGAACCGGGGGATCTGGGTGAACCTCATATCCAAAATTCACCCAGATCCGTTCAGTAGTTTGGAAGATACAGTTTAATGCAGATTCCGCAGAACATATACAGGTTATATGAAAAATAATTACTGTATAATGTGTCCCCTGTTGTATAGTTTAAAACTACTGCACAATAACTTTGTGCACCAAATACCGGCGAGATGGCACCGTGTAGAAAAGTCCAAACAGTGTCTGTGAGTTAAAATGGCCACCATTCATTGTTCTCACTATGTGCCTCTGATACATGAAATGGTGGCCACCCAGTAACTCCACAGTATGTCCCCAGATGATTCTTAAATGGCCAGCAGCAGCACAACACATCCATTATGCCCAAATCATGTCTTTAAAGGGCAATACATCCCAGGGTCCATAGTCACATGGCAGGAGGCTGGCAATCAGTCTTCTCCAATGCCCAGTGGCGAGGTCAGTTTCGCCACATTTCTCCCCTTTCCCAAAAAGACTAACAAGGTATCTGACCTCCTGTCGGTCAGTGCCTTGGTTAGTCCAGCAAACCACCCACAAAACATAATCAACAGAGTGGCCCACCCACAAGAATTGGTTACTGCACCTGGGGTAGTGGGTAGCTTGTCCATGTCCAAGGGCTCCACCACGGCTCTGGGGGGTACTAGCTTTCCGGATCGGTGGGTTGCTGAGTGGGCAGAGACCAGCAGTACTCTGCCCTGGTGCCAGCGCTACCACGGGAGCTTAGTGTCTCCCCTTGGTCGGCTACGCTGCCGCTGGGGAGAGGGGGTAACAAGCTCCTCTCCCTTACACACTTTCAGCCGCTGGGAAGAGGGGGTAACAGTCTCCTCTCCCTGACACTATCTCTGCTGGTGGAGAGGGGGACTGACTGTCTCCCCTTTCAATATATTGTCCCGCTGCTGGGAAGCGAGACCGACTGTCTCTGCTCCCTGCAAGACACACTGCCGCTGGGGAGGAAGGACGGCACCTTCGGCTCCTTGTGACTCACTGGACTGCTGGGGAGAGGGCCTAACTTTCTCCTCTCCTAAGGACACACTCTGCCACTGGGGAGGAAGGACGACACCTTCATCTCACTGGAACTCACACTGCCACTGGGGAGGAAGGACGACCCCTTCAGCTCCCTGGGATTCACTCTACCGCTGGGGAGGAAGGACGACACCTTCGGCTCCCTGGAACTCACACTGTCGCTGGAGATCTGGGTTGGCTGCCCAGTATCCCTGTAGGGCCTGTAGAGAGACCTCGGTCCCATCTCTACCTGCCATCTGGAGGTCATCCCAGGACCAGTCAATGGGGTCTGGTTCTGCTTGTCGGGTAGGTTGGGGCTGCACGAAACTGAGCAGGTGTTGGTAGTCCTGCTCCAGCTCCCACTACCCTGTTGCCAGGTGGGTCATATGTTTGCTCACCTCGTGTTCATCAGCCCAGACATACATGCCCATCCGGTAGATATAGATGTCCCAAAACCTAGACCCCTCCGTGCTGCCAAGATCAATGTCGTCCTCCAAGGCATCCCATAATAAACCAGGGCCATCATAATCATCCCCCTCCGGTAAGTCGTGCTCGGCCGTCCAGGGGGTAAGTCGAACGGTATGCCACCAGAGGGCCTGGTATGCGTTGTCTAGCCAGATCTCTCGCCATACCAGAGTCTCTAGTCTTGTCTGGCTAGACAACGCATACCAGGCCCTCTGGTGGCATACCGTTCGACTTACGCCCTGGACGGCCGAGCACGACTTACCAGAGGGGGATGATTATGATGGCCCTGGTTAATGTATGCTGTTATGACATACTACTCACTGCATACTATTTTATACTTAGCACATACTAACTAAACTGCATACTAATGTATACTTTATGTCATACTACTTACTGCACTCCACTGTATACTTAGCACTTTCTTACTACACTGCATACTAATGTATACTTTATGTCATACTACTTACTGCATTCCACTGTATACTTAGCACTTACTAACTACACTGCATACTATGTATACTTTATGTCATACTACTTACTGCATTCTAATGTATACTTAGCACATACTAACTAAACTGCATACTAATGTATACTTTGTCATACTACTTACTGCATATTACTGAATACTTAACATATACTAACTAAACTGCATACTAACGTATACGTTATGTCATACTACTTACTGCACACTAATGTATACTTTAGGTCATACTACTTGCATACTAATGTATACTTTGTCATACTACTTACTACATAATACGGTATACTTGGCACATACTAACTAAACTGCATACTAATGTATGCTTTGTCATACTACTTACTGCATACTACTGTATACGTAACACATTCTAACTGAACGGCATAATGATGTATACTTTATTTTCATACTGCTTGCTGCATACCACTAGATACTTATTATATACCAATTAAGCTGCATACTAACGTATATTATTTCATGCTAGCTTGCCACATTCTACGTACGACACTACAGTAAGACATACTGCTATGTAACACACTACTAAGCTGCTCTACGGTATTACATACTACTGGGCTTATTACTAAGGTTCAAACGGTGTTAGATTCTATTGCGTTACATACTACGGTATGCCATAATACTATATGACTTGTGGCATACTATGGTGTTATATACTACCATGGCACAAGTGGTTCAACATGCGGTGGTATTTCATGCCACTTGCCTACGTGACTGTAGGGCACATTCTAAGATACGCGCTACGCGATAAGGGAGTGCGACCACTTACATGTTATAGTGGTGCGGGTTGCTGTGGATTACAATGTGTGTGTTCACATGCCTTACGTGCATTATACTACAAAGCTAGTATCAGTGATCACATTACTTATTTCTCTATTCTTACTTTTCAGGTTCAAGTTGACTCAAATCAACTACGTTCATTACTATCAAATCTTTATTTAACATTGTCCAGTAAGTAAGGTGTTAAGTAAGGGGTACTCTCAGCATAACAAAGGGAAGTACGTTTATTACCATGTATAACATATACTCCTCTCTACTATCACCAGGTATAAACCTCGCTTCCATTAGTGGTGGAAGTCTCAGGTTCTCTGTTGGTTGTGACCTAATTTTTGATCCAACAACAACGAGCGGTCTCAGGTACGTTTTGCCTAAACACCCTCCACCCCTCCCCCCTTAGAGCTTATGATTGAGTATTACTGGCATATCTAGGATAGGCGACCACTAGTAAATTATCCGGGCTTCTTCGCCTTAGTAGTAGTGGTCCCGTGAGGCCAACCCATTTCCTCCACGCTTGAGGACATTCGCCCCTCAGGCCAAATAATAGTTAGCCGCCTCGCACAGTTGCATAGAGAGGGCCTCACTTGTCACTCCAATTCTATATTATGCGCTTTAATCGTCATCGAGCGGCCAACACCCCGCCACAACGTTTCGGTGGCAACAATTCCCTCGCGCCAGTCGATAGATAGAGCCTCTCAAGCCACTTGGCAACTAGCAGGGCCTCACCTGTCACCACACCTAGGAAATTGTTTCGCCATCCGGCATTAGCTACCCAGCCAGTAACCAAAAGATGGTATAAAGGCTGATGGTTTGATTATTTCCTTTTAGTATGTCACATCTACCGGATGACACAGAAAATTTATCTCTACCCAGTTCTCCGGCCAGATCCTTGTCACCTACTCGTAAAGGCAACGTTGAGTCCAACCTCAATAAGGTCATGGACCATCCCTCGCATTACGGCAGAACTCTGGAGACGCAGCATTCCTTTTCATGCCATGGCCAGGAAAGCTGAGCTCTACAAATTAATGCGGACTCATACTGATAACTCTGGGGCGGGAGAGGGCACAAGTGGTACGGGCAACTCGGACCTACATGCCATGGTCGCTTCACTAGTAGCATCCATGAGCAAGGTCAACAAGAGACTGGATAGGATCGAGGCTCGGAGCCCTCCTGTCAGGTCTCCCAAGCCCTCGACTGCCTTACTCCCCAATGCTCCACTATTGCAATCAGGTAATTATGTACCTTCTGGTTCCGAAACTCACATTATTAATCCTGTGCACATGGTCCCAGAAAAGATTAAGAAAGACATCTTGGAGGGGAAGGATGTCAATCTTGTGGCACTACTTATTGCTTCTCACGATGTCATTGATAACCGCACTTATGCTTATGGTGTTATTTCAGTGGTATTGAAAGCCAGGGACCTTAGACTGAATAAGAAACTGTCCATAACTGGTTTTGTCTTGGCTTTTGGTATATATCGTGATGTAATTTGTTCTGTTTATCCGCATAGACGAGAGGAACTCGACCTCTACATGCACAAGCTGTTGGACTTGGGAAGCAAATATGGTGGGTCATCCTTTTATGACTATCACCAATCCTTTTCGGCAAGAGCGTCTGCAATATTGGCTCAGTATAACGTCAAAACTGACTGGAGCCGCATGGATACTGAGCTATTTTGTAGACATTTTGCCGGTCTCAAGACACCAGCTTGTGCAGTTTGTGCTTCAACATCTCATTCCTCGGACTATTGTCCCACTATGCCAGAGTCCACACCTGGGACTTTCCGCGTACCACAGACCAGGTTGGACAGATCTGGTAAGGACAAACTTGGTCGCCCTATTGTTTACCTGTGAAAGTCTAAGGTTTGCAATAACTTTAACGTAGGTACATGTGGTTATAGTGCCTGCAGGTTGTTACATGTGTGTTCACACTATTTTAGGGCACACGCTAAGTCTATGTGTCCCAATAAAAGTCACACTAAACCATAGTTGACATCTGTAAAGATTGGTTCTTTGGCACACGCATTAGCCTCTCATCCATCCAAACACCTAGTGGACTTTTTGATAGATGGTTTCACGGAGGGATTCCATACAGGGTTGGTTCATACCCCCGCTGGCATTTACGAATGCAACAATTTACAGTCAGCATTTGCAAACGTGGAAATGATCGATGCTCTATAAAGAATTAGAGGATGGGTTTTTATTGGGACCTTTTCACGAGCCCCCATTTTCCAATTGGCGAACCAACCCCATAGGATTAGTCACTGGGAAATCCTCAGGGAAACACAGACTGATTTTAGACCTATCAGCACCTCACTCCTTGGCCATACCAAGCCTCAATTCCCTAATTCCATCCGAGGAATTTTCACTCCAGTACGCCACTATAGACAACTCTATACACACCATCATCACAGCTGGTGTAGGTGCTTGGCTCAGTAAAACTGACATCGTCAATGCGTTCAAGTTACTACCCATTCGCCCGTCACTATGGCATCTGCGTGGTTTTAAATGGAAAGGTGTCTATTATTTTTTCACAAGACTCACGTTCGGGTCAAAAAGCAGCCCAAAAATATTTGACATCTTTTCCGAAACCTTATGTTGGCTGCTGTTAAACAATTGCAGATGCCAGGCCGTTATACATTATCTGGACGATTTTCTGTTCGTGGAGAATAATTCCTCTTCCCCCAGTGATCTGACAAAGGCCATATCATTTTTTCATTCTTTGGGGGTGCCAGTGTCCCCCAAGAAAACAGAAGGCCCTGACACATTAGTAAATTTCCTAGGTATCCTACTCGATTCAGTAAACATGGAAGCGAGCTTACCACCAGGAAAAATTGACAGCATACTACAATCCATTAACAAATTTTTGGTCAATAGGACATGCAATAGGAAGGAATTGCAATCTTTGTTGGGATCGTTGAATTTTGCTATACGAATCATCCCGCATGGCAGGACCTTTATCTCTAGACTCCTTTGCCTCCTCCCTCTCATACCAAATGACATTACTCGTATCAGCGTGGAGGCGCAGGCTACAGCTGATTTGCTAATGTGGCGCAAATTCCTGTTGCAATGGAATGGCAGAAGTATGTTCTTGCCTCCATTGTCTGTCCACTCTCCGGTCATTTGGACAGATGCGGCAGCATCAATGGGTTTTTCGGCCATATTTGGAAACGAGTGGCTTTGGGATGCTTGGCCAGAGGAGGTCCAACACATTGAAGGTTTCTCACGCACCTCGGCCTTATTTGAGATATACCCCATTGTGGCGGCAGTGGGGTCAGTCTTGGGCAGGTAGCTCGGTACGCTGTTTTTCCGACAACCTAGCTACCTGCCACATCATAAACAAAGGCCGATCAGAGTCTCTAACGATCATGAGATTCATGAGAAGACTGACCAAGCTGGCGGCCTGCAATCACTTTTATTTGGTGTGTTCTCATGTACCAGGGGTCTTTAATACTGCAGCTGACAAATTGTCTCGCTTCGAATTCCAGGCATTCAAAGAGACGTTAGCCACGGCCTCCCCCACAGCCACTGCAGCACCATGTTTTCAGGAGCTGGTGATGGACTGAAAGAACTGGCAAAGCATGGGCTCGCCTTGTCTAGTCTAGCTCTGTCCGACCATACTAAACGGTCTTACGATAGGGCCTTCAAACTATACAAGAGGTTTATGATAGAACACAACTTGGTGCAGTTTTTTGCCATTTCCACACTGGTAGCTTTTGATTCATTTTGTCATCTTAAACTCAAACTGTCACACAACACCATCAAATTATATTTAACCGGCATACAACACCACATGTATATCTTATACCCAGATAACGCTAGTTTCTTATCTTCTTACCCCATTAAAAACATTCTTAAAGGCGTACAGAAATCCAGTACCACTCCTCCATCAACAAGATTACCGATACATAAGCAGCTATTTAAGGATATGTCTGACTTGTTGGACACGGCCCCATTTGAACACTATACAACACTATACAAACATGGTAATCAAAACAGCCATCTACTTGGCATATTATGGTTTTCTTAGACCTGGCGAGTTTACCACACACGGACATAAATACGCACAAAACTGCCTCAAACGGTCCCATCTCACCAAACTACATGATCACTATATCTTGTCACTACCAGTTACGAAAACAAGCCAGCTGGGCAAGATGGTACCAGTCACATATTATCCTACTGCAAACAGATGGTGCCTGGTGAAAGTATTGGATACATACCTCCACTTATTACCACCGCAGTCTGACATCCCGCTGCTAGTCTTACACAAAGAGGTCTTAACAACAGCCAAATTCATGCAATACATCCGCATGCTACTAACCAGACTAGGTCTGAACGCTGGTAACTTTTCTGGCCATTCATTTCGGATAGGGGCAGCCTCCACAGCCTCCAGCCAAAATATTCCAGTACATGTAATCAAGTCTTTGGGCCGCTGGAAGTCCTCAGCCTTTGCGTTGTATATACCTCAACCTGTGTTAGAAAGTAGGGCGGCATTTGTTAAACTGTCATCTTGAAGTATTTTCTTTGCACTATGTTTTCTATGCAATAAATATTTTCTTTGGCAAAGACACTGCTTATTTTTGCCCTCTTTATTACAGGCCTACCGCATACGTCAGTTTCGGCACACTTCAACTGACTTGTTCATACCTATGGTTACACCATACGATATATACGTTACGTTACAAGAATAGCACCGAACACAAATGTAAAGGCTTGCCTGGAGTTGTGGGAGGGGCGTGGTGATCCTATTTAAACTCACCCCCCTTTCTCTGCATCACCGTGTAGTTTTGACTTCGGCAGGCCCCACCCACCACTCTCTCAACTCAATTAATTTATTATTTTATATCTAGGGTGGGCCCTCTTTATTACAGGCCCACCGCATACGTCGGTTTCGGCACACTTCAACTGACTTGTTCATACCTATGGTTACACCATACGATATATACGTTACGTTACAAGAATAGCACCGATATATATATATATATATATATATATTGCTTTTCCAATATAAAATATTGGTCCTTTTCAGAGTAAAATATTTAATTATACAGTAAGCATACTGACATGCAGACACAGACAATCTCATTGACACAAGATGATTGATACACAGCCTCATAGACAAACAATCTCACTGATATATATAAGGTCATTGACATAAAGACACAAGCTCACTCAGTAGCAGGCACACACACACACACACTCACACACAAGCAAGCCCACTCACTAGGAGGCGCGCACACACACACAGCTTAATGTAGTAGCTCTGGTGTCTATAGCCTGTCCCTGCAGGCTTTTCAATGTAAACATGACTTTTTCTTTTCAAGCTTGATGATCTCAGCCGTAGAGGCAGGGCCAGTTGAGGGGAGACCAGCACGACGTGGGGGGGAAAAAAGGTGAGTAAAAACACCCATATACACACACACATACCATGACAGACACACACCATGACATAGACAGACCGTGACACAGACACACACACACCGTGACACAGACAGAAACACAGCCACACCATGACACAGACAGACACACACACCATGCACACCATGACAGACAGACACACACCATGACAGAGACACACCTTAAAAAAGACACACACACACACCATAACACAGACTGTGACACAGACACACACACAAAATGACACAGACACACATTGCATGACACAGACACACACACACACCATGACAGAGACACACACACACCATGACAGACAGAGACAAACACACACAATGACACAGACACACACAATGACACAGACACACACCATGACACAGACAGACACACACACACACACCATGACACAGACAGACACACACACAAATGACACAGACACACATACACTCACACTGACACACATAATTTCTACCTGTGTGCTGGCACTGGGAGCTCTGATGGCGGCCGCATGGGGGAGCTGGCTTTTCTGGCGGCCGCAGAGTGAGCTCTTTTGGCGGCCGCAGGGGGAGCTGGCTGTTCTGTCTCTGCTCTCCCTCCCCAGCGCACTGCTTAATGAGACCGGGGCCAGAATATGACGTCATATTCCAGCGCCGGTCTCATTGAGCGGCGCGCTGGGGAGGGGGAGCAGAGACAGAACAGCCAGCTCCCTCTGAGGCCGCAGGTCTGCCAGCTGCCTGCCGGCCCAGGTGCCGACGGCCCACCTGGAAATTTCCCGGTATCCAAGTGGGCCAGTCCGGCCCTGCCCTCTAGACCCCGCAGGACACAAAAACTTGTAAAGTAAATTAATATTTAAATGATAAAGAAACCAATATTTAATGCAGGCTGTTTGAGACACACCCAGAGGAGGTGTGGCTCGGACTGCATGGACAGAAACAAAAGTGATTTGACTCCATAGGCGTGCGCATGGGGTGTGCCGGGTGTGCCTGCGCACACCCTAATCCCTGCGGCACGCCTATGGAGTGAGACCGGCATGGGAGATCTCAAGATCCCCCCCTGTCGGCTCATCCAGAGCCGGCGCTATCCGAGCGCTGGCTCTGCTCTCAGCCTCCCTCCCCACCGACCCACATGCAGGGAGGGAGGCAGGAGAGGACCCGGGGAGCTATTGCTAGCAGCTCCGCCGGGTTCCTCTTGCGAGATCTGAGCGTTGCCGCAGGCTAGAGTTCACTCACACCTGGACCACCAGGGAAGGCAGCAGGAACAAGAATGCCCCATCCCTACATAAAGTAAGAAGGGAGGGGGGATATTAAGTAATGTACCCCCACCTCCACCCCCCACAATCACCCACACACATACACAGCACCTACACACTTACACAGCACCTACACACTTACACAGCACCCACACACATACACAGCACCCACACACATACACAGCACCTACACACACACAGCACCCACAGAAATACAGCACCCACACACATTCAGCACCCACACACATACACAGCACCCACACACATACACAGCACCCACACACATACACTGCACCTACACACATACAGCACCAACACACATACAGACATACACAGCACCTACACACATACAGCACCCACACACATATAGCACCCACACACATATAGCACCAACACACATACATAGCACCCACACACATACACAGCACCAACACACACAGCACCCTTACACACAGCACACAAACAGCACCCTCACAAACACACACAGCACCCTTACACACAGCACACAAACAGCACCCTCACACACACAGCACACAAACAGCACCCTCACACACACACATCACACTAACAGCACCCTCACACAGCACACACACACACAGCAGTGTGTGTGTGTATATATATATATATATACGCGGCTTGTGCTTTAGGGTGCACACCCTAATGCAATAGGCTGCTCACGCCTATGTTTGACTCCTAAATGGCAGAGAATAGAGCAGTGAGATGCAAGGCATGATCTATACACAAAAACTGCTTCATTAAGCTTAAGCTGTTTGGATGCATATATTATCCCTTTAAT